AACCGTCTATAAAGCAACCAAACATCTGAAAAAACAAAAATGGGGATGAGGAGGGACAAAGCAAGCTTCTTCAAAATACGGCACTAAAAATACAGCACAGGAATACCCCCACCCCGGGCCAATCGTTACCCTCCTTAAAAAAAAAGTCAAGCTACAAAGGAGATGAACAACTCATTAGGGCAATTAATGAAGAATGTGCTGCACAAATGTTTGCTTCTTCTTTTGATCACTGAGGAACTGCAAGCAGATGTTAGCATATTCTGCACTACTACAACTCATGGGGGTCTAGGCATCCACACGTTTATCCTGCTCGAGGAAAAATGCCTAGGCTTAAAATAGAAGACAAATTGTCTCCCCGATGACGGGTGGATGTCTGCAATTCTTGTACACAGTTTACATCAGCTGCTGCAATCCCTGAACACTGGCTCCGCTTGCACATCCGCTCCCAAGGGGCTCCATCTGGCAACCCTGCAGCGGCCCTTACCCAATCTGTGTTCTTCGCTGTAGCCTCTGTGCCGCAGGCGGCTGATCAGCTCCAGCTGGGCAAGGTATGGTCCCCGAAGCGGGCGGGCGCTGTTGGACTCTTGAATTAACCTCTGCTCGATGAAAGCGACAGCTTGCTCTACGCTGTGATGCACCTCTCCTTCCAGAGAACTGAGCATGGGGGAAGCAGTGAGTTTCAGGATCTCCATTCCGCCTCCCTCCCTGCAGCCCTGAAGCTTCCTCTCTTCCGGTGGCAACAGTCTTTTTTTAATTTATACCTCCATTTTCTTTTACAAACACCAAGAGCTTTTAACTCTTTCCCTCCTAGTCCAAACAGCAGCAAAGGCACTGGCAGAAGCCTCTCCATGTTTTGCTTCTATTCACTCTCATATAGAAGGAGGGGGAGATGGAGTAGCCAGCTGAGATGTGCAGTAACGGAGTGGCCCCGCCAAGGCCCCTGCTGCTGCCGCCGAGCAATGCAAGAGCTTCTGCAAACAGAGTAAGGGCTGGGGAAATTGAAGTCCAAAACCAATTTTACGAGTCTCTCAGGGACTCTCCAAAAGGGTAAGAGGGGCTTCAGTCCAAAAAAGTTAACCGAAGGGCAGGTGAAAGGAAAGATGGTGTTTAATGTATATCATCCTGGATCAGCCCATTTATTACAAAGGCCTCCGTTATCTTAGGGATGTCCTACAGCCTCCAGAGTGGCAAACTGATTTCTCAGGATAGAGTTTTAAAAGAAAAGGTGGATCTGGACAACTTTCCAAGAAGATATAGGATTTTAATATGGGCAGCATCCAAGGTGCTC